CCAGTACCCTGAGACTGGACTAGCTACATAATTTGGGGGGCCCGGTGCAAAATGAAAATGCAGAGTAATTTTCAAAATGGCTCTTGCAAGACATGAAACCAAGTACGAGGTCCTTCTGAGCAGAGACTCTTGAGTGACTGCATAGGTCATACCTATGATGCTGGCACTGCCCAGAGGTGATGGGTTTCAAAAAAAAAAAGTGGGCCAATTGAAATGTACAGGAGACTGAGGGAAGTACACAAATGTCACTCTGTAAATTTATGGGACAATAGAACAGTCACATGGGGGGATCCCCAACTTTCTGGGTCCCCCTTGACTTTATTGCCAAGGCACTGTCTGCTATGAACTATTAAGAAATAGCAGAGACTGGATTGTCTCTTCAAAAACAAAACAAAACAAAACAAAACAAAACAAAACAAAACAAAACAAAACAAAACAAATCTACAAGGCTCTGGTCCCTCAATCTGGACTGTGAATACCTGGGGGAAGGGGCTCTCTGTTTTTTTAAACTTATTACCCATTGGAAGCAGGATGGTTAATTTTATGTGTCAACTTGGCTGAGCTATGGTGCCCAGATAATTGGTCAGATATTATTCTGGATGTTTTCATGAGATTAACATTTAAAATGATAGACTTTGAGTAAAGCAGATTGCCCTTTGTAATGTGGGTGGGCCTTGTCCAATAATTTGAAGACCTTATATATAGAACAAAAGACTGATCTCCCCCAAGCAAAAAGGAATTCTGCAGGCAATTGACCTCCAGACTTTACTGCGACATTGGTTTTTTCCTGCGTCAGAAGCCTGCTGGCCTACCCTGCAGATTTTGGGTTTACAGCCTCCATAATCCCGTGAGCCAGTTCCTTAAAATACATCATAAATCTCAGGAGAACCCTGCCTAATATGGAAACATAACACCTAGTAGTTGGTGAATGAATTCATTCATTCCACAAATATTTGCTTAAGTGATGAATCAGCCAAACACTTCACTCTATATGCACCATTCATTTTTACAGATTTACATTTTTTAAGCAATTCTGCATTCATCATAATATTTGATCTTTAGAACAATTTTTCTTCTCTACTATTTTTCATCCGAATTTTGGAGCTGAGTCCTAGAGGTGTTTTAGATTTTAAAAAAGTATCATTTGACTGCCAAAATAGATGTTAAATTTGTAAAAGTGACTTTCTAGCTTCAATAGTAGAATCAATAACTATAATATTTCAGTCCTTAAAACTATTTTATGTGAAGTTGGTTTTCTTTACCAAAATTGTAATTGACAATAAAGTGACTATAAAATGAGAGGTGTTAAGAAATATGAGACTAATCAGGGAAAAATTATGAAAAGCATCCACATGTTTATCGGCAGTACTGGTGAAACTGATTTCTCATTGTCTACTTCAGCAAACCCAACAACAGATCTCAGTCTCACTCTCCCTGATCTCCTCCATCTCACTCTCCCTGATCTCTCATGCTTGCTTCCTGAGAGCACCTCTCAAATAAACCAGTGGACCCCAAGTCCTTATCTCAGGCTTTGCTTTTATTGACCCCAACATCTGACACCTAAGCATAGGAAGGGGTTGAACCCAACACACTAGTGGTTCTATAGCCTGTTTCTAGACTCTAATCAAAAGCTAATTATGATATCACTTATATGTGGAGTCTAAAAAAAAGAATGACACAAATGAACTTATTTACAAAACAGAAGAGACTCACAAACATAGAAAACAAATTTATGGTTACCGTGGGGGAAGGGGAGGTCACGGATAAATTTGGAGTTTGGGATTAGCAGATACAAACTACTATATACAGCATAAATAAACAAGGCCCTACTGCATAGAGCAGGGAACTATATTTAATAGCTTATAATAACCTATAATGAAAAAGAATATGTATAACTGAATCACTGTGCTGTACACTAGAAACTAACACAACATTATAAGTCAACTGTACTTCAATAAAAATTTTTTTAATTAAAAAAAGGCTAATTGTTACCTTACTTGGTGTAGAGGACCTGAACTGGTACTTCTGTTAACTCTGGCTATGGGAGTAAATTTGTAACTTTGGCATGAGAAAATGACATTTTTGTACAAATTGTATATGTATAGGTTTTTCTATCAATGTTGTTTGTTTTTTGAGATGTTTAAATGCTTAGAGAACTTGCTGTAGTAAATTTGTAAATTTATTAGATGTATAAGAATTTTTTTAAAGTGCGTTTAGGAAGACTTTGTTAAATATGCAAATATGCCTGAAGTTTGGAGTGCTGCAAAATCAGATAAACTAGGCTTGTTATTGTTCTTTGAAAGGTCTATGAGAATTTAAATAAATATATAAGTTGCATTTAATAAAGTAACCTAAAAACCAATTAAAAAACTAGTGGACTATCATCAAATGTATAAAAATAAGGAACAAATTCAATTTAAATCAAAGATATTATAAAACCTTACAGCATTTAATGACAATAATAGGGAAGATTTTTTAAGAATACTGTTAAATATTTAAGTATCTAAATTGCTCCAGGGCTTTCCAACCTTTAAGTCTGTAGAATAGAGAATGGTATAAAATTGGAAAAGGACAAGACAGAAGTACCTTACCCTTGGGAAAAAAACACAAATCTCTGACCTAGAGATGGAGTGAGTACAGGAATGGTCACACTACGTTTTTCTAAGGCACACAGTACATGAGGTGGTCTCCATATCATGTGTAACATATTCTTCTACAGTGGAAACTAGTTATTTCTTTCACTACCATTTAATTTAATTTTTTTAACTGAAGTATAGTTAATTTACAATATTGTGTTAGTTTCTGGTGTCCTGCATAGTGATTCAGTTATATATATATTCTTTTTCATTATAAACTATTATAAGATACTGAATATAGTTTGAAATATAGTCAGTTTACAATGTGTCAGTTTCTGGCGCACAGCATGTTTTAGTCATACATATATTTGTTTTCATATTCTTTTTCATTATAGGTTACTACAAGATATTGAATATAGTTCCCTGTGCTACACAGAAGAAACTTGTTGTTTATCTATTTTACATATACTAGTTAATATTTGCAAATCTCAAACCCCCAATTTATCCCTTCCCACCACCTTTCCCCCTAGTAACCATAAGATTGTTTACTATGTCTGCAAGTCTGTTTTGTAGATAAGTTCATTAGCATCTTTTTTCTTTTTTTAGATTCCACATGTGAGTGGTATTATCTGGTGTTTTTCTTTTTCTTTCTGGCTTACTTCACTTAGAATGACAATCTCCATGTCCATCCGTGTTGATGCCAATGGCATTATTTTCTTTTTTATGGCTAAGTAGTAATCCATTGTATAAATATACCACAACTTCTTTATCCAGTCATCTGTTGATGCATATTTAGGTTATTTCATGTCTTGGCTATTGTAAATAGTACTACTATGAACATTGGGGTGCATGTATCTTTTTGAATTGGAGTTTTCCCCAGATATATGCCCAGGAGTGGGATTGCTGGATCATATGGTAACTCCATTTTTAGTTTTTTTAAGGAATCTCTACTGTTTTTCATCATTACCATTTAATTTTAGTTTTGAATGCTCCTGCTTTGATTTTGTATTGCATTGTCAGATAAAATAGATGGTATTTATGTTAGTTTTGTTGGTCATCAAAATTCAGGTTAGAAGAATAATTAAAAGACTTACCAACTATGAGGTGTTTTTACAGGTTGATGAGACACATCAGAAGTTTTAAAAAAAGAAAGAGAAAATGGGTGCATTTACAGACTGACACACACAATTTTCACAGCAAGACTTGGAAACTCCCATTATCATGGAGATGAAATGAACCACAAAGGTGAAACTAAAATACAGAAATAATTTTGAGCCAATATAATAAGTTGCAGAAAATATATGTATTTGATTGATTAAATTAAAGTGTGTGGGCTCAAAATTCTCACTAACATGACAAGCAAGAAGCTTCCTCTAAAAAAGTTTAAGAAAACCCTAATAATACTGCACTTAATATTCATTAATATACAACTGAGAGCATTCTTTTCTTCACATAACCATGCCCGTATTCTTCACATAATCACCCACCACTAGTAAGAACTTTCTCGGGATAATTTTAAAAAGACTTTTTGATGATAGCAGACAATACCTTTTGAGGTTTAAAACACCACTAAATTTTTCTGTATGTACGAAATCAAAATATCTAAGGTAGTTTCAAATTTGAATGTTCTTCTCTGTCATTAAGGAAACATCTGAAGGGCTACTGTGTGCCAGACAATATGCTAAGCACAGGGAATACAAAGATGAATAAGATATTGTACCTCTTTCTTACAAGCATAGAGTCAAGTTAAAAAGATAAGCAGACACAATTAAGATGCATCAAGAATGCCACAGTAAACGTCGTAACTGCTGTGGGAGCAAAGAAAATGTGACTCAAGCCACCTGAACGATAGGGGAGGCATTGGAACTGTTTGAGTTGCATCTTAAGAAATATAAGTCTGCCACATAGAGGGGGAGTTAGAAGTCCAGGTGGAGAGCAGAAGGAGCAACACAGGAACAAAAGTTAAAAGCTACAGGAACAAAATTTAAAGAGGCTGTAGGTCCAGACTTCTCAACCCATGTGCGGGTTGGAGACCAGAATCCATGGGGAAAGTAATGAGTTAAGGCTGAAGGAAACAGCAGGTGCCAGGCTATGGAGGACCTTATATGCTATAGGAAGTGGAGAACCATTTAAGAATTGTAAGCAAAATCAGGGAGAACAATTAGGAGATTATTACAATAATACAAGTGAAAAATTAAGCCTTGAACTTCTTAAATGGCAGAGGGGACACGGAAAATAAAAATAGGACAGAACTTTGATCATGATTGAATCTACGTGATGAGGGAGGAAATCGTGTTTATGTCTGATGATCCCTTTTCTTCAAAGTCAACTTTTGGTGTAAGGGAGGCTGAAAGGACAAATAAAGGGTAGGCGGTGTACACAAAGTGGTGAAGGAAAACAAGGGCTCTGTAAGTTTAAGCTTTATTAAAAGAATAATCATGCAATATTGAGGTTATAAAAATTACTTTATTTCAAATGTGAAAATATAAAAACCACATACGTATAAAACTTAAGGATATTAAAGCATCCAAACTTTGAGTTCAAGCTTTAGCTCTTATAAATGTACTTAAATTTAATTGTGACAATATTCACAGCAGGCATAAATATATATAAAAAGAATTATATTTCTAAGAATTAAGACACAGGAGAAAAAATAACACATTCTGTCACTGATAAAAAGCACAGAACTGTAGTGGTCAGTGTCATGGACTTCCCAACAGCCTCTTCATTCCAAAAGATTCCAGAGGAGACAGTGGTAGGGATCTCACTGATGTTGGCAGTGGCTGGGGGGAGTGGCCACACAACACATTCCTGACCAATAAGACGCGAGGAGACATGAGGAGAGGTTTGCTAAGAGAACCCCTGAGAAAGGGTCCTTCAAGTCTATGAAGGAGAAAGAAAAAATTGCTCATCTTCTTGCTCTGGCTGCTGCTGTACAGGCCCATGGAATAGCTACAGCCATCATGCCAGCAGCTTGAGAATCAAACCAACACTAAAGGTGACAGAGCAGAGAGATGGAAGGAGCCTGATTCCGTGATGACAAACAGAGCTGTGGAGCTCACTGTGCTTGAACTTCTCGTTATGTGGGTTCATACATGTTCTTGAGGTTTAAGCCACTGGAATCAAGGTTTTCTGTTACTTGCAGCCAACTAAAACAAGAACGTTAAGGTAGATTAAAGGTAAACATTAACCGGGATGGTTATACTGTATTGAGCTAAGTTTTCTCCTCTTGGTAAATCAATTTCACTTACAGACATTTGAAAAAATTTTATTTGAAGTTTACATAATCCCTTCCCTCTGAATTGTCATTAATCATTTTTTAAAAAATACTTTTACATCTAAGCATCTGTCCTCTGACAAAGACGACCAGAACAGAGAGAAGAGAAGCAGTGGCTGAATTTAGCTCTCTGTTAAGCTGCAAAGAGACTGTCTCTCTTTTATAGATGATTTGAAGGTTGTGGTAGTAAACTTTGACTGACAGCAGCCCATAGAGACAGCATAGGGAGGAAAGAATCTGGCAATCTTCTAATAACTGGGTTTTTTGAAAAATAAAAACATCTAAGCACTTTCTTAAAATAATATATCCTTCATTTACTTGCCTCCTGGCTGTATTGGGAACATTTGTATACGTTTTTAATAACCTTAAATAAAAATAATACATGCAAAGTACAAGCATAGTATTTGGCACTGGGTGTTATTATTAAATCAGTGGTCTACTTAGAGCAAAATACTGTGCTAAATCTAGCCTGAGAGTGTCCCAGTGGCTCTGTAATGCTCCCATGAGTTGATCTGTAATGCATCTGCTCGCCTTCCTATAGCTTGAGTTTTGCTTTTCTCTTATCAATACACTTGACAAAAATAAATCCCGGGGCCACTTTATGTCTTTCATCTTCAGATGCAAGCAGCAACTTTGGCATTTCTTATTACAAAAAACCCGTATGAGAAAGCTGGCAGGCCCAGTGAGCTTCCTGGGCGGAGAGGTTTTTCGGTCAAAGCTGGCAGGGTTTGGTTATCCACCATCTTCAGAGTTTGACCATTGAGCTGGACCGATCTGCAAAGGGGAAAGATACATCCAAGTTAGCCAAGTTGCATGTCCTCCCCCCACTCTATAAAATCATGAGATCTTTGTAAGACCAAAAAGATGTTCTGTGGCAGCCTATATTATACAGTGTGTTCCCACACTGTATCAGCTAGGTATCTGACCTACACTGGTAGAGCTGAGTAGCTGTGACAGAAACCACACAGCCTGCAAAGCCCGAAATACATACTATCTGGCCCTTTACAGAAGTGGAACACATAATATTCCATACTAGCCAAGATGATGGGGTATAAAGAAGATGAAGATGACATACTTCTGGATTGGTGGCCTTTTTTCTTTTGGATGGTAAGTAATTGAAAAATTTTTTTTAACTTTACTCATATACTTATTTTACAGTGTCATACTTTTTAAGTTGAAGTATAGTTGATGTACAATATTGTAAGTTACAGGTATACAAGATAGTAATTCACACTTTTTAAAGGTTATACCATTTATAGTTATTATAAAATATTGGCCATGGTCCCCATGTTGTACAATACATACTTGTAGCTTATTTTATACCTGATAGTTTGTACCTCTAAATCCTCCACTTCCATCCTGTTCCTCCCCCTTCCCTTGAAACGTTTTTATATAAAGCAAATAAATATATGGAATAGAATGTGAATTTCATGAATTGAACATAAAAAATGATGATCAATGAAATTTCCCACTTGTAAGTATGTCCATAAACCCACCAACTCCCCTTCCCCCAGGAGGAATGCATTCATTTTATGTCATTAAGCCATTTTGGTAGCATGTATATTGCTGTGGTGAGACAAAAATGATTTTGCTTAGCTAAACCACAGATTCCAAAAAGATTATGTTTTCTTTGCATTTCACTGTTGAAACTGAAGTTCAAATCTGAGTCAAAAAAATGAAAAAAATTAAGGACAAGTGTTATTTCTTATGCTTATTTATTATTACTTAAATCAAATTAGTACATGTCTACAGTAATAAATCTAATGTAAACAAGAGCTTATAAAGAAAAGCTTTACTCTGCTTTCAGTCCTACTGATAGTTTCATAATTTTAAATGGTGCTTATATCTCTTTTACTTTTTTCTTAAATGCTTTTTGTATTATGAAATTTTTATAATACGAACAAGTTTTTTACTGTTGAAAATTTAGGTAATGTCAGAGTTATATCTATGTCATATATGTAATACATGTATTATATGTAGAACATTTATAACAGTGCCTTGCATACAGTAAGCTCTGTAAAAGTACTATCTACTGTCATTGTTATTCAGATAAATAAATATAACAAAAGCAACCTGTTAACTCATCATAACCATTTTTAATATTTTGATGTATATTCCTTCATCTCTTTTGTATATGTGTGTCGACATGCATATTTTCATTTAAACAAAAATGAGCATACAGTACAAAGTCTCTTAAAACTTGATTCTTTTTCCGTTAATACATCCTAACGTTTGCTCACACCATTAAACATTCATCCACTACACCATTTTAATGGCTGCACAGGATTCTGTTGTGTGAGTATATTAGTTTATTTACTAAACTGTCTAATGTTAGACATTTAGTTGTTTTCGATTTAGTATTATTATAAGTTTTGATTTTTATTTATTTAGTTATTCTATTTTAATTTAACTATTTTTTATTTGTACTTATAGT